CATGACCAAATGGGTTGATGTTCAACCTAATCCCCAACAAAACTTCAATGACATCTCGACAGAACAAGAACACAGTTTTAAAACTCACACAGAAGCTCCAAGGCCTCCAATGGCCACAGTCATCATAAGCATTAAGAGTAGGAGTGAGGGTACAGATGTCAAATTACACTATGAAGATTTACTAATGAAAACAGCAGTGTGCTGGCACAAAAACAGACACACAAACCCACGGAACAGAATAAAGGGTCTAGAAATAAACCCACACAGTTATAGCCACCACAGACACTGGAGTAAAGACAGCCTCTTCAACAAATGCTGCTTGGAAACTGGCTGTTTGCATGCAGAAGAATGAAGGCTAGATCTCTACCACCCTGCACAAAAATCCATTAAAATGGATTAAGAGACCTAATGTAAAATGTGAAGCCCTGAAACTGCACAAGGAAAGAAAAGGAAAATAGTTCAAGATATGAACATCCAAGAACTGAGAGCTGTGGCTGGGTGGAATTAGAAAGCTTCTGCACAGAAAATTGGCAAAGTAGAGAGACAGCCTACGGGAGAAAATGTCTGTCAAATATGCATCTGAGTGAAAGTTAGTATCTATAATCTATATATTAAAAAAAAAAAATTCAACACCAAAAGTTCAGATCACTCTATGAATAAATTGGCAAATTAACACATTTTTAAAAATAAGAAAATACAAATGACTAGGAAATGCATGCAAAGTATTCAAAACCCTTAGCTGTCAGGGAACAGTGACTGAAAGGCACATCAGCACTCCATCTCATCTTGAGTTGAACCAGCTAGCACAAGTAAACAAGGCCAAGCATGGTAGAGCACCCCTTTCATCCCTGTGCAGGGAGGCAAAAGTAGGCAGACCTCTGGAGTTTGAGGCTGCCGGTGGCCTGTGTCCACACGGTGAGACTCTGTCTTAAAAAGAAAAAACAAAAATCCAACAGCATTAGCTGGTAAGAATAGGGGTGGGAGGAAGGAACGCTTATACCCTTCTAGTGTGCCAGTAAAGTAGTGCAACCAATGCAGAAATCAAGATGACTCTTCTTCCAAATTCAAAACTAGAATTACCACATGATCCAACTATACCACTTCTAAGTGTACACCCAGAGGAATCTGAGCAAGAATACTACAGATACCTGGGCACCCATGCTTAGTGACAAAGCATTCACAGCAGCCAACATACGGAACCATCACCAATGCAAATCAGCAGATGAACAAACAAGGAAGCCGAGATGGACATAAACTATAAATATAGAAAGAGAAAGAGAGAGGGAGTGTTGCAAGTGTGAGGGGAGTGTGAATGATTGTGTGTGCATTTTCCCATATATAGAGAGGCCAGAAGTTGACATCAGGTATTTTTTTTTATTGCTCTATAATTTCTTTGTTAAGAAAGGAGTCTCTTGCTGAACCCAGAGCCCATTGATTTCAGCTAGTCTAGCTGGTTAGCTTTCCTGGGGATCCTGTCTCTGGCTGAGGTTACAAGAATGCACCACCACCAGGACTAGCTTTACATAATCTTCTTTATGTTTCCTCAGGAGCTTCAGAATAAGATTCAAATTTAGTAACAAGGACTACTATGTCCCTCACAATTTAAAAGCCACACAGCTCCAGTTTCATTTCTTACAAACACCCATAACTACTGAGTTTAATTCCTAAGTGTATCCCTCTCCTCAACAACTTTATGCATGCTCTTTTCTCTGCCTGAGACACTCCTCTTTCCCCTACTGCCTTCTTCAGCTGATAATCGCTACTGATGCTTTTGTATTCATAGTATTTTTTACTTGAGAATTTTATCGTTAATCTACGCCATTTTTAGGCATGTTTTCTCTAAATACTCTCCTAGCACTGTGCTATGCCTGCTATCACAGCCTCCTGTCTCTCCATTCTTCTTTTCATCCCATGAGCCCACAACAGTGCCTAACACCTAAAAATAACCTTCATAGCTATTTCTGAATAATGAATGGTCAAAATTATAAATGGGCAGGTCTCTTTCCCAGCAATATCCACTGCAACGATTCTATGGGCTAACAGAGATGAGCACACTAAATTCCTCAGTGGCTCTCCAAAACATACACAGGCAAGAATAGACTCAAAATAACATCTTCAGATATACTAATTTATTCTTCATTTTTCTAGCAGAAAGAGTTTCTTAGATGTATAGCTACATATTTCCATCATTTCACTAAATAAATATAAAAGGAAGAAAAAGTGAATTTGACAATGTTTTCTCTTGGCTATGTCTTTATAATTCACCTTTAGGAAGTGAATAAAGTAAGGTTAGTCACTGATTTACAAAAGCAATCGGTTGTACTTAGCTAGCACTTTGAAAATCTCAGTCTTTATCATTTTGGTAGCATGTACATCTGGTCTGTTAAATTATTATCATTTATCACAGGCAGAAAGTTCAAGTTTGGACTCTGCTACTCAGCTTCCATTAAAAGCTCATCAGGGGCAGAGATATGGCTCAGTCAGTAAAGTAGCTACCACGCCAGCACAAGAACCCATGTTTGGATTCCCCAATAACCATGTAAAAACCCAAGTAAAGACAGTAAATGTCTGTGACTCCAGCATCACATAAGTGGAGATAAGTGGATCCCTAGAGCTCATTGGCCAGTCAGCCTAGCCAATCAGTTAGCTACAGGTTTGGGGAGAAACCCTGTCTCAAAAAATTAAAGTGGGAAGCAAGTGAAGAAGCTATCTGTCATAGACCTCCAGCTTTCACATATATGCAAATGTGACCACAATCACTTGAACACGTATATATACTCTATACACAGCATACCCAAAATAGGAGCTATCTTATGTGTCTTTCTTTAAGTCAAAAGCTTCAAGAAATTTTATCATGGTCAACTCTAAACAGCCTAGAATGTTTAATAGTGCTTTACTGTTCCACATAAAAACTACAGTGACAGAGGTTACTACTGACTAGGAAAGGCCTATGGAAGATAACTGCTATGGCTGGATTTGCAGCTTCATGTTAGAGCTCTTGCCTAACATGCTAAGATTTTACACACACACACACACACACACACACACACACACACACACACACACACGATTTAATCCTTCACAAAGGCCAAAACAAAAGCAAGTTTTTAAAAACTCTGTACCATTTCCCTTTATAAGACATGAGAATAACAGAACACACATTGCTTCCCTTTCTACCTTTATTTAGATCAAGTATAGTACTCAATTATAATATTCACAGTAGTTAGTTTTAGGACTTTCCTTTCATTCTTATTAGTTTTAATTTATACTTTCATTAGTTTAAGTATACATAATCATAATAATTCAAGTAATTCTGAATGTGCATATGATAATTTGCAAATGAATTAAATAAATCCAATCTTTATTTTACAATGGGATAAGATTCTCACATTGCAATACTTGAGTTATTAGTAAATTACTCATTCAAGTTTTTTAAATGTTTATGTATTCATTTAAGAATGAAAAGAGAGGAGCGAGAGAATACTGTGGTCGGGATGTAAGAAAAAGAGAAGAAATGCAAAAAAAAAAAGATTGAAAAGAAATGTAATCAATAGAATGAGCATCATTTCTTATTTTCATCTATGCATTCATTCTATTCCTAGAATTCTACTGGGTAAACTGATCACATTATTGAATATCAGAATGAAGCTGGATGGAGTCTTAAGAGACAGAAAGGTTTTGGAAAGGAAAGAAGTCCAAGTCCTCCATGGGAAAGCAGAGTGTAACTGCTGAGGGGTGAACAACGTCAGACTCACTCATCCTGGGAAAATCAAGAGGAATAACAGGCTAGGAGAACAGACTCCAAGAAACGCTAGAAATGTAGGGCAGATTACTACCAGAGCCTTAGTCGCTACAGATCTCCCTGGGCACTAGCAAAACATGGAGCATAACACAAACAAGTGAACTCAGAAGCAAGTAACAATATATGTAAATATTTTATGCAAATTAAATAGACTTTGCTCACTTAACTTTTCCTGAGTCTGTCACTCCTGAATTTATATAACTATTCAAATATTTCTACTACATATTACTAAAAATCTACATATTTTTATATATAAAAATGAGTGGTTACATAATTTATCTCTAAAATGTAATGGTGAGGAAAACAAGATAGCTCCTAAGACTTAATTTTTAACTGAGTTTTAGAATTTAAATAAAATGATTCAATGTCGATTATGCTGATTAATAATGTATTAAAAAAGAATGTAAAATTGATAAAATATAATGGAAAATTGTTCAAGAAGAAATATGCAGAGGAACAAAACCAAAACAAGGTTTTCAAACTGAAACAGGTTGAGAGAATGACCATTAGTTACTTTAAGCTAGCATTTAGACTGCCCTGAAGAGGCACTTTAAAGACCTACGAGGCTGCAGTCTGCCTGTCTCTACAATCACACCTAAACAGTTAGACTTAGAGGCGGGGCAGTGAAGAGCAGCAGCTGGCTGCTCCCGTGAGGAAGTGATGGAAAGAGGAAGCAAACTGTAAGGAAAGACCTGCTTTAAATGTGCAGAAACCACAGCTACTGGGTATCTATAAAGGGGAGAGCCCGGCAGCTATTTTCTCTAAGTGCAAACAGGGCCATGTTTCCAAGTAGTACAGATGAAAAAGTTGAGATCTCTATGAAGGAAACTTGAAGGAAGCAAAATCAGTAAAAGGGGGAAAAGTTTTGTAAATGTTTTGTTTAAAGCATTAATAAAGATATTTAGCTTAACATTTAAAAATCAAGCTCAGCTCAAGTTCATTTTTTCTAACTTGCCATGAGTATGACTTAACTACTGTTGCTTATACTTGCAAAAATGAACCAAGGCAAACTGTAGCATCCCTAGTGGTCTTCCTGCACCCTGTTAACTTTGCTTTTGGTTAAGTAACAAAGGAATAGAATTATGGATAGAATTTGGCAACAAGCTTTCATAAGGATAGAGTATCATGCCATGAGCTCAAAAAAAGGTTAGTTGTATAAATCTGGGGAATAATCACTCATGCAAAAATCAGAAAATACCTGTACCGAGCCACCATGTCTGTCTGCTGCAAGGTGAGCTCTCAAATGGTGGGGATTTGCCTGCTGGGAGTCCCAAGCTGCCCTGTGGTCTGTCGACTGCCATTTATTTAATGCATGTGGCATGCATGGAAGAAGAAAAACCCAATATGTTAAACATCTCATCCTTATAATATACAAAACAAATGTATAAAAGGAAATTTAAAATAGCCTTACTATTCTGAATCATACATACAGTTATTTATCTCTGAAGATGAAAGATAATTTTTATTGTTAAAATGAGTAATAATCAGCAATAAAAATAAGTTAAAACCATAAAATTTGAGAAGCAGAAAATTTGGGAAGTCACAGATTCCACCAAGTTCATAAATGAATGAACCAAGAGCCAGGGAGTGAAGGGACGGGAGTGCACCGGAAGCCATTACCACGCTTCCTTACAGAACCTCAGTGGTTCCTCCATGAGGAGTTAGTTTAGCAATGTGAACAGAATAATCCTTAAAAGGTTGAGATCCTAGGAAATGTTTCTCTCTTTTGCTGTATTCTTTTTCTACTGCAAGTATAACAGGAGAAAACAGAAAAGGTCTTTGAAAAGTAAAAAGCATTATGCACAACACTATGAAATTATAATAAAATAATTTAAAAAGTGATCATCTCACAATTATGAACCTCTTAACTGCTTTAATTTAAAAAAAAATTGGTTCTATTTAAAGAGCCTTCTTTTATGAAACAGACTGAAAATTGTGGATTTTCTTAGTCCCTTTGTAAATCTGTATGGGACTAAGTACAGGATACGAGTTTTCAACTAGTAAAGATTAGAATGGCTTCTTAATTGCAATCAATTTCTCTCTATTTCAGGAGCACACAGAAAGCACTAAGAGAAGGGAGAGCTCTGAAAACCTGGTTCTGAATGAGTAACTTTAGATCAACTCTTCATTTCATGGATAAAGACAAAGACATTCAATACTATCCTAAGGTCACGGACATAGTGGGAATTCCCACCAGAGACAGCTTCAATGGTGCTACCAAGCTCCTGACACTGACTACACATGTTCTAAAGTCTCTGTTGCTCTTTTTTTTTTTTTTCAACCAAATTCCACAAAATCTTGCCACAAAATGCCAAGTATGCTCGGCTATAAAGAGAACCTAAGTACACTGGAGGCCAGAGTGATCCTTTCTGGAAAAGATGTTAAATGTAAGTAGAAGGACATGGAAAAAATCATCCTGCGAGTAAGCTTCCTAAATTAAACTGTATAATGTGAAATTACATAGGCCATGGCATGAAGTTAGCCATCAAAACCACTGTGAGAGAGAGTTCTGTCTTCATCACTCTCTAACTGCATAGTCGGGTTCAGTGGATTAGTAGCTGACACTGAATAAATTACGGGAAATCGAATCTAAAAAGACACTAAATTGAAACAGATAATCTGTGGCAACTGGTAGCAGACCTCTATGAGAAAATATTCAAAACTATGCACACTCTTTCTGTATAAACACTAGCACGTACCTAACATTTTATATGTAACTGTAGCTCCCCTGAACTTCGGCCACTGACTCTGTTCTCTGTCTGCAGTCATTAAAATGTAAAGCCCTTTTAAGAAACTCATGTTTTTCCTCTTTGGGACTGTGAACCATAGGGTCTGTCATTATGAAAAAAAAAAACAAAAAACTGTCCACTAATGCATGGATATTTAAGAACTTTTTCTATTCACTTTTCTTTAGCAAGGAGACTGTATATTCAGGTCTCAAATCCCATACATAGCCCTATCACAAAGGATTAGTGAAACATTACACATACATAGAAAATCTTCCCTGCATTTAGTGCAAAAACAACTATGAAGAAAATACAGAGCCCACCCTTAGAGAGTTTACATTAAAATTGCTATGTCTGTGATGAGTAGAAAGTTAGAAGCCTGAAAGCATTTAAGTTATGATGCAGTTCAACACTGCAGGCTTCCCTTCCTACAACAGCTTGAGCAAAAAGTTTAGAGAGGACCAGTCGCTGACGTTCTTCCAAGAATATCCAAGAAATGAACGCTAGTTTAGAAAACAGAAACACTATATCTCGACTTCTGAGCCGCATACTTATATAGTTATCTTGTCAGATCATTCAAGTTACCAACTAATTATATTTTATAGTTGAATTAATTCATGAGACTTTTCAGTGTGCCAGTTTTTCTGTGTCCAACTCTTAAACCCAAACTTTCTAAATGAGCTCACAACACGTGTTGTTAAAGATGCCCGGAAGTGAGCATTTTGTTTAGCTGTATGTCTTTAATGACTGGATTCTGCCCTTTAGTTTTCATCTTGTTTTAACCATCACTTGGACTTTAATGGGATAAAAGAAGTAAAAATACAAAGAAGCAAGCTAGAATCTAAACAGGGCTGTAACTAAGAATTTCTAGACACTCTGATTCAAGGAGATAGGAAAATTCTTAAGGAGAAAGAAAATCCTCTTGCAAAAAGAGACATGAAAACACTGAAGTTTTCAACAGCTGCCCCTGGCCTTCCCCGGGAAACATGAACTCTTCACGCTCCATCTTATCTCACCCACTTTCTTATGTGCTATGTCTCCAATTTACAATCTCTTCCAACAAACGAGGCTGACTTATATTCCTCAAACTAATAATCAATGATTTTTAGCATCTTCCTTTTCTGTTACCTTTCTCTTCTCTTCCCAAGCCTTCTGTTTCCTCTTCTCTTTTCCCTATCTCCTGCTCACTACACTTTAAATGCCTTTACTCCAGTATTTGCCTAAAGAAGTCCATTTACTCAGCAGGTTCATCACAAGAAACAACCTTTTTTTGTATTAGATATGCAAATGTATATAGCATATTCTTCCAAGAGGTATATTCCAAGCATATATTCCAAGTGGTACAGTTTATTTTACTTCAAAATGCAGTTATCTGTGCATTTATTACAAAAATCGTTAAGAGCAACACCATCCTTGAGTTCAGATTTACTGACAGTAAATTTATTTCTATTTTATTCTGTTATCAGAATTGTAATTAAAAATTATACTCTAGAAGTTAGCATGTATTATTACTACTTTGTAGGTGAGAAAACAGGCCTTAAGAGATAAACTTATACAGAGTGACAACACATTCATGTTTGTCAGCTTCCAGGGACGGGTGAGCTCTTAACTAAACACTGCCTAGTCACTCAGTTTAAATTACTTCTTACGGACTGTTTGCTTTGCCTCTGTATTTCTAAACACATGAATACAAAAATCACTTAAAACAGCAGAAATTCAGTAAATAACTTACTGAATTAACTAGAGAGAGAAAGAGCACAAGTTGTTATAATTCTAACACTTCCATTTTAACAGCACCAAATATTGCTTGCTTTGACTAATTGGTACCGTGAATAAGGAAATGATAATTATTCTGAAACTAATGGCGAACACTAAAAGTTTCCTGAACACAAGTCCTTTCAGTCCTTTCATGTGTGTATGATGTGTGACCCATTGAAGAAAAAGGCACATCTCAACAACGAAAGGAAAGACTTCATATCCAAAGGGCAGCAAACCTGGTTTTTAGACTGCTGCATCTTATCCCTGTGCTGGTGTGCTTCTCTGCTCGATGACAGAGCAGGGTCTTGCTGAACTGCACCCACCGGAGTAGGCTACAAGAGAACAACAGTTAGTGCTGGAATGGCCTGCTTCAGGATTCCCATCAAAAACAGTCTCATTAGCTGCTTAAAAGAATCAGTGACCCAATAAATGATATTGCTAAGTAAATTAAGTCTTCAAGAAGCAACACTGTTCTCAAGCACATTGATAAAAACTTCTAGGGTAAAGCAAAGAGAACACAGCTACTTTTTACAGTATTTCTAAGACATTTAAATACTTCTCAATGTATTAACTTTTATGTGTATAAACGGTCTTCTAATGTTATTAAGTTACTTTCTCACATTAAAAATAAAAATATATTTATGAATCTCATATCCAACACTAATATATAAATAAACATTTAAAAATTTAAAAAATACTTCTTAAATAAAAAAATTATATATTTAATATCTTGACTCAGAGAAGAAACTTTATAATTCTTAATTCTGATCAAAGCAGAACATAAGCTACTACAGAGAAACAGCAATACTATAATTCCATAAGAATACTATATAGAAATATCGTATTTGGTATTAAAAAACAAATTAAGATAGAAAGTACAAAATTACTCATCACCCTTTTACGAAAAGCAGGATATTCAGTGGTAGAACTTGTCTACAATTCCCAGTATGGTGACCCCTGAAGAAATGTCCCCAAACAGGAAATGAAAAGAACTCCTTACAAACTGCAATCAATCTTCAATGGAAATATTCTGTACTATTAAAATACTGTAAATAATCTTCTATTGTAACAGCATAAAGTACCCACCAACTGTTTACCAATCCAGTCGTATTCATAATCAAACAAATATCCTTTGCGATCAAACAAGTCGGTAAAAAGCTTTCTTAGGTAATCATAGTCTGGTTTTTCAAAAAAATCTAGCCTTCGTACATATCGAAGATATGTTGCCATTTCTTCTAGAAAGGAAATAAAAGTTATTCTGACTACATATCTCTATAATACTCAATTAATAAAAAATTAATAAAATTCTGTTTCAATTTAAAATTTTAAATTATAGCAAAATTAAAAAGGGGGAAAGAAAGGGAGAATAGAAATAAGAAGAAAAGAAGTGAGCCATTAGTTGTTTGCGACATTAATACCAAAGGTTAAAACATTTTTTTAATAATATTTTTTTTTTTTTTTTTTTTTTTTGGTTTTTCAAGACAGGGTTTCTCTGTGTAGCTTTGCGCCTTTCCTGGGACTCACTTGGTAGCCCAGGCTGGCCTCGAACTCACAGAGATCCGCCTGGCTCTGCCTCCCGAGTGCTGGGATTAAAGGCGTGCGCCACCAACGCCCGGCTTAATAATATTTTAATAGGTATCTTGAGTTGTACTAGAGGTTGAATTAGTGGCTCAATGATATGATTGTCTAATCACAAGGTATACTTCATGCATATTTTTAAATTTACTCAAAATACTGCTGGAACCAGGTTAGGTGAGAGCATCTGTACTAGTTTGCTGTGTTTCCTTCAGCATCAGTAACATACACTAACTTACTAACATGGGACAAAATTTCTAACCTTCTGAGCTGGCAAAATAGGCAAAATCATCTCAAAAAAAAAATTCTGATGCAAGAACACAATAAGAGCCTTTTTTCATTTCAATCAAACAATTACTTGGTTAATATACAAATTTCTACACCACGTTTTTTTTTTTTTTAAAGTTTATACTTTTAAAAGAAAGGAAAAACAAAAATCTAATGGATAAAGTTGTTAACTAGTTAAAAGAGTATTCCATCACTACAGATAGAAACAGTAGGTTACCAATGCTGAAATCTCAGATGTGGAGATTTTGATGCCTCTCTCCCCTCAGTCATTCACAGTGCAACATGGTGCCCTGTGACTTTCCTCACAGAGGGACTTTCTCACTATTCCACTTGCTACCTAATCCCAATTACAGGGCTAATTATCTTGGCACCTCCATTTTCCCTGGAAAACTGCTTGTACGATTTATAATATAGTCACTTAATCTATCCACACCTAAAACATCTGGAACTCTCACCAATATTGTTTAATCTTCCACTTATAAAAGTTACTTCAAAAGAGAAAATAAAGTTTACTGACAATGAATAAGGAAATATATACTATTTCAGAGCACTGACTTTATTATTATGATACCATTACATAGAAGAGCCAGTGAATACAAAGTGATACAAGACCTCTATCCTGAACAAAGTCAGTCTTCTTTACACTTCATGTTGCCATGCAAACCATATCAGATATTTAGTAACTATCAACAGCTAAGCTTAATGAACAGGCCACTTGGGAGGTTAAAGCAGGAAGACAGCAAGGCCCAGGCCAGCCTGAGGAACAGAGCAAGGCCACTAACAGACTTGGGTAACTCAACAAGCTTCTATCTCAAACATTTTTTTTTCCTGAGACAGGGTTTCTCTGTGTAGCTTTGGCACTTTTTCTAGAACTCACTCTGTAGTTCTAGAAAATACACAAACTGTTTCTATGCAGTAATTGTTGACAACTTTTAAATCACATTTTCAGAGCTGAGGACCGAACCCAGGGCCTTGCGCTTGCTAGGCAAGCACTCTACCACTGAGCTAAATCCCCAACCCCTAAATCACATTTTTAAAGTGCTCGTGTTTTTCAATGTATATAAAAAAAGTACGTATAAACTTAAGGAATGAAAATTAGCCTTTTTCTGTGCATAAGCACATGTCTCAACTTATGAAATGTATCACTGTCCATTACCTGGAAAGTTTTCACACAACACTTCTATTGGTGTGGCTCGTTTCGTGTCTCCAATTTTCTGATACCTCTCTTTTAATGTGTCAGCCTAAAGCAGGAAAGAGGAGTACAAGAATGTGGTGTTTTAAAAACTATTTAGTTGTAACAGAAGGCCTAATACACATTAAGATTTTACGTACTCCAATAAAGAAACACAAAAAACAATTACCTTTAAGCCTTGCCAAGGAAGACTGCCTCTCAGGAAGTACATGAACATATGGCCTAAAGCTTCTAAATCATCTCTTCTACTCTGCTCTGAAACAGAAGAGAAATATGAAATTTCACTTTCACCTTCCAGTGAAAAATGAAAAAATGGAGAATTATTATTTCTACATTTATGACATTAATGTAAAATATGGATTTACTATCTATAAGTAACAAAATCGTATATAAATTCTTTTTACAGACTGTCATCTTTAAAATACTGCCATAAGATATCTTCAGTGATACTGAAATTTATTTACCTGCTTAGATACCTACTCATTGAACTAACGGCCAACGGAAAAGAGGTTCAATGGCCTAATTGAGTTTCTCTGTATCCTAGAGCTCCATCTTAAAGAGTCAGAACAGGACAAGCTACAGGTTCTGAGAAACCCTGGAGTTGAAAGTGCTTATCATTCTTTAACTGAATTTCCTAAACCCATATGAGCATAAAATTTGCATCCCACATATTCTCTATTAACAATAAACAGAGTTAGTATTGTAACCAACTAATAAATAATCATGTGAGATATAACACATATCAACATTCATAACTCCTGTACTATTATTTGTTCCCCCAAATGCTACTAGAACAACTGTTATTTTAAGGATTTTTGTTTTGTTTTTGTAACAAAATATGTAGCATATAAATGACTGACAGTAACAGACTAACATTAAATATGTACATGTAAATATTTCAATATTGTCACTGAAAAATTGAGATTCCTTGATTTTTAAAATAATACAAAGATGCTAACAAATGAGATAAAATGCTTTAAATGCAGCATGCAAGCTGTGTTTCTCAAATGAGCCACCCTACTGTATATTATTCCAAATAATACGCAATGCTTTCAGAAAAAACAAATTTTCCAAAGTACTGATCTGCAATAAGATGAAAGGTCAGGAGACCTTTGATTTTCCACCTTGTGTTCCCAAAGCACTTGCTTCAGGTTACAAATAATGCTTACACTGTTACTCAGTATCTATCATTCTCCTAGACAACATGTTATAGGAGAGCTCATTATTCTCAAAACCCAGGAAAACGGCTCTGGATGCTTAGGGTCTCAGAGTCTTAAAAAGGAAAAGTAATATAAAGAAAATATTATTTCCAAACTCCAGAATAAAACTGAAAGCATTCTGGAAACTTTTAAAAGCTCGGAGAAACTGGCCTCTTGCGGTAACTGACTCGTTGTATACAGTGGAGCAGAGATCTATGCATTTTCCAAGTAGACAATTCTGAGTACAGTCAGGTTGGTAATTCCTAGAGGGAAAAGCTTTGCTCACTGGAATACCTTATAACCTTGACACCACACCACAATCAAGAAGTTTCTCAGAGACTCTAAATAGCACTGCTATCAATTTCCCTTTCCACCTCCAACCTCTGGCCTCAGGATCCCACTTAACTCTGTCATTACAGATTAGATTTTTCATACAGTATGAATTATACAGCACAGATTCATATCTGGATTCTTTCCCTCAGTATGTTGTGAAGATTTACCCATAGAGCTCCATGCATCAAGAGCTCATTGCTGGTCATGAAGACAACCACAATAAACTCACCTATTCACCTAAGTAGGCTCCAGTTTGCAGTTACTGTGGGAGGGAGACTATCATGAACATTCTGAGTCTTTGTGCGACCACTCATTTTCCTCCATCTTGAGTAAATACTTAGGAGTCCATCAGATCATCACATGGCAGTACGTACACAGCTTCCTAAGATACTTCTAAAGTACATTGTGAAGAGGCTGGGCCATTTCAGATCCCCACCAGCAATATTAGACTGCCAGTTATTTAGAAATTTAGCACTGTCAGTCTTTTACATTTTATCCAGGCCAATAGCTATGATATACAAGCTTACCAGCGATCAACAGTATCTTACTGATGACTAATGCTCTTGAACTTCAAATGTTACTACTGTAAATCATTCATGAACTGTGTGTGTTTTGTATTTTCATGAAGTCCAATTTACTGCTAATTTTCCTCTTACTATTCCTACTGGCTTATGTTCAATTAAAAACATCTCTGGGACCACAGATTTCTATTTATAACTATAGATTTTATAGCTTTGGTTCTTATACTTAAACCTACTATACATTTTGAAGTAAGTTTATTTTTACTTTAGGCATAGAGTGAAATAATAGATCCATTTTTGTCAATATGATAATCTGGCTATACAATTTTTGACAAGACTTTCCCTGCCCCCAAAACTGTTTTTGCATTATTCTCAAAACTCAGCTAGCCATCTATGTTCATATTCTGGACTATATTCTAACTACTTATCTGTCTTCATATTAATACTACCCAAAATAAGTTTGGCAGCATATGGGGGCTGATATATAAAGAGAGGTCAGTGACCAGAAAACAAAAATTTAACACAAAAAAATAAAAGGTTGATCACTTGAAAGCTTCAATAAAATAATTAGTCCTCTTACTAGACTAAAGCAGCACAAATTAGTAGTGACAGGAGCAACAGAAGGGGCATTAGAACAGATCTTACAGACCATTCTGTAAAAAAAAGAATGATTTTTAAAAATTAGGAACCAACATTGTGCCAACTCAGCAACTGAGGTGAACTAGACAAAAAGATTTACTGATTACCAAACTGCTTCAAGAATATGTGAATAGCTCTATGCCAATGAAAGACATTTAATTTAAATTTTAAAGTATGAACTGGGGAGATGGCTCAGTGGATAAAGCACTTGCCACACAAGCATAAAAGCCACAGTTCAGGTCCTCAGAACCCACACAAACGCTGGATGTCCTAACATGTATTTGTAATCTCAGCTCACCCACAGTGAGATAGAAGGAACAAAGAGAAGAATTCTCAAAGTTCCCAGGCCAACTAAGTTGACATATGCAAGAGTAAACAACTAGAAACCCTGTCTCAAGCACGATGGAAGCCAAGCTTGCACTCTGATCTTTTTTACATACATGTGGTACCACACATGTGCTGTATAGCCATTGCCTCTAAACTGAAACATTCTATTGGAGAAGAAGGGGACTTCATGAGACTCAAGTTAAGCAAACTTCTTGTCTGGGAAGCTGATGTTTGCAAGACTCATTAGAGCCCCTCTAGGTTACAGAAGCATTAAACAACTGTTGGAGAAGATAATGACAGCTATCTCACCAAGGTTTCTAAGACCCGTTGAGCCACCTAGAAGCTATACAGAAAGCTTCAGCGAAACTTTCATGCGTCATCATCTGTGCTGGGGTGGGCATTTTGGTGATGAGGCTGCTTTTGAGTCATCTTGCTTCTGAAAGGAATTCCTCACCCATACTCCTGTTAGTAACCTGTGGGGCGTTTACCCACCACCCCCACAGCTTCCCAGAGTTTTCTTGAGTGCGAGCAGCAGGAAATATTAGATAGAAGGATTTATAGCGGAGAATCTTGCGGAGATAAACAGGTAGAAAATAAAGGATAGCCTCGAGAGGGCCTGGAACCTATTCCAACGGGCCCCGACTGTCTCTGGTCCAGGGTTTTTATAGAGACGCCAAGGGGTGGAGCAAAAGACCTCCTCCCCCAGCACAGCCAAGTGCAGACCATCTCAGACACCTGCGCTCAGGCCCGTGGTCCTGATCATCCTCTATTCGGACCTGCTGGGTAAAGCCATGAGGAACCCCGGAACGGGCTCCCACAGTAACCTCAATTAAAAACTCACTGGTTCACCAAATTGAACTCCAGTGCAACTGTTAACTTTGGTCTGTTGTAAGTTTGCTTTCTGAGATGAGCAGACATATGTGAGCATTTAATCTCCCCAGAAAAAGTCTCTCACATAATCTGGGCCCATATATACATACACACATGCATAAATGCATATGTACATAAACATTTTAATACAACTTAAAACATTACCTAAATATAAAGCATAACTGATAAATTCTACTAAAGGCCAAGAAGTCAACAAAAACTCTTAGAAGAGTTCTCAACTCATTACATTGTCCTATTTCAAACAAAATGACTGCAAGCTACAAAAACTATAGGAAATATCTCATAAGCAAGCACAAAATCCTTAAGAAGGTATTGTTCCCTGAATAAGTAATCTTCACCCTTAGAATATAAGATTAATTTAACTTTCAAAGGTGAATCTACGGGGACTGGGGAAGAATCTATGGGGACTCAGTGGGTAAGAATACTTGCTCTGTCTGTAAGCATGAGGCCCTGAGTGTGAATTCCCAGCAACCACATAAACCAGAAATGGCTGCCCAGGACTTGGAGGCAGAAACAAGAAGTTCCCAAGAGCATCCAGTTCCATAAGACTGTCATGAGGCAATAAATGAAAGCCTTGATGACCTGCCTGGACTCCACATGTGCTGCATACTGCACACTCACACTCATGTAACACACACACACACACACACACACACACACACACACACACACACACACACACAATAGTAATTAAAATTTAAAAGACATGAATTTTACGATCATCTCAGAGACAAAAAGCATCTGTAAAAATCTAGCATGCATTCATCATAAAAATTCTCAGCCAGGGCTGGGAGAATGTCACAGTGACTGAGCATTTCTTAGCTTGCACAAGATCCTCGGCTTGATCCTCAGTACCACAAAACATATTATGAGTTTTTATTTAAAACTTATGTATTCAAAATAAGTTATAGAAATTTCTTTAGCCTAACAAAAGACAACTATGAAGAACCTGTACCATTCTTTTTTCTTGGTCTCTTCATTCATTTTATCTTATGGAGGACTTGAGTGTTGTACCCAGGGCCTGGGGATACTAGACAAGCACTCTACCACGAGCTCAACTCCCGGCTCTCTTTTTCATTTTTTTTTCTCCCGTTGCTTGTTTTTACTTGAGATCAGTTCTCATGAACTTTTCCAAAAGGGCCTTGAATTTACACTTATTAGCTTTGACTTTGTGATCTTACTGCCTCCAATAGACTTGGCCTAAGATAAATTTTAAATTATAGAAACACAGCCTAGTGTCAGGACCAAAAATAAAAATATCTATTACTTTATTTCTATTCAGTATCATATGGAAAATTTTTTTTCTTTTTTTTTTGGGGGGGGGGCGGTTATTGAGGCAGGGTTT